GGCCGCCACCCAGGCCCCGGAGAGTACCCGCGGCTTTCCCGGGCGAGCCGCCGCCTGGGGCGGGCTGTGGCCGCGGGGACGGCGATTAGTGCATGGCCTGTCCCCGCGGATGCCGCCGCGCCGCCATTTCGCACGGAACAAACTCCCAAGACGGCACAATCATCGCTCGTTTCAAAGTCAGGCTTTTACCACGGTACAGACAGGCACAGAAATGTCAACTCTTCCATTTAAAAAAACCCCTCCAACATTATATATAAACCCCATTGGCAAGTCCCTGTATGGCCCAAGAGCAGCCCCTGCACCACCAGCCCCAGGGAGGCAGCGCGGGGGCTTGTCCCAGTGACCCCAGCCTGCCCAGAGAACAGCTTTTTCTACCTTTAGAGACCCAAGAAATAATTAGAAGTCAATCGCATTTTGGCAAATAACCTTTGGTCAATGACAGTAAGGCATTTCAACAGCCACCAGCATGATACGATTTTCCTTTTTTTCCTCACTGAGTAGGATGCCAGTGCTTTACAAAAACAAGTACGTGTATTTATCACTGCAGACTTTTAGCGCCAAATGCCCTTACTCACAGTGCACAGCACCAGCACACAGTCATCCGTAACACCCTTGACTGCGATTAGGGACAACGAACATCTTATTGCTTTTTGAAATATTTTTACCCTCCAGTCTCACCTTCTGCTTCAGCCTGGCCTCTTTCTTTGTTGCAGAGGACTCTTACAATTATTGTGCTTCTCACAGGAGGTCTTCCACCTCCATAAAGCACTTTGACATCTTTGGGTGAAAGGTGCAATCTATTTTAAGTGAGGATACTACATATGAATTCAAGCTCTGTACAGGTCCAGTAAAGTTGTCATGTTTGGTCTTCCCACTTATATCACTTTATAGCTATGGGAATCAAACAGGAATGACAGGGAAGATACCAAACCTGGAATAAAGTCCAACCACTTTAATATATTCCAAGTATATTCTACAAACTATTCAAATATAAAAAGCAACATTAAAAGAGTTTTGCTTTTCATACACAATGTGCTCAAAACTGGGAAATACCAGAATTAAGGCTGTCTGTCCTACTGCCATACACATTACCAGCCTAGAATAATGGAACATTTTTGCCCTTACAGACTCTTGTACTAAAGGTGTTTCACAACAACCCCCTCCTAAAGGCCTTATTCACTGGCACTCTTCCCGTCTGGAGTGGCTGACAAACTCTGCTCAACTTCCCCAGGTGTTCCTACAAAATTTCCCAATGGGGAACAAAGGCTAACATAAAAATACTATCTTACAGAGCCACTATGTTGTGGTTAGGTTTTTGTTTTGTTTTAACACACCACCATTTCATAGCAGCCATACTGCTGTAGTTGCAATGGCCTCATCATATATGGATGAATGCTTCTACATGCAGAAGCACTAAGTCTCAAAACCCAAGGCAAACACCTCCACTCCAGTGTACACCACCAGAAAAGCTTCTCTTCCTGCAGCCCCCGGATCCTCTTGGTGCCCAACCTCCCATTGCTGTAACGGATGGGACAGGGACACCAAGGGGTCGTCCCAGCTCCCTGCTCACAGTACCAGCCGCCCCGTGCACCGTGCCAACGGGACGCCCTCAGCGTGTGGCCGAGCACCAGTATGCGACTGCTCCCTAACACCCAGGCAGAAACCTGAAGCCTAAGCTTTAAAGGCAATTTTAATTCTGGCATTTCTCAAAACTTTTGAGCACTTTCCTAGGTTTAAGCCAAGGCCATCTGCAATACTCACAGTGAGTTTTAGGAATGGGGGCAACACCAGAGACTAGCTCAGTTTTAATCAACCTGTACTTCAATGTCAGAGGCAAGTGCTGCCCCTGCTGAGGCTTCACTGAGTCCCCACACCAAGGAGGGGGGCAGAAGCCTGTGCCTCCAGTGCCTGTACTGCTGGGAAAGGTCCTTTGTAATAGTCCGTTCCATGTGTGGCATGCACCCATGGCAGCCCACCAGAGAAACTGGCTTGGGAGGTTCCTGATGCTCAGCAGGAGCTACACTCTGTTCTCTGCTGCTGCTGAGTACAACCCATCCTCAACCTGCCTTTAAATGCCTGGTTTCGTAAAGAAGGATGAAGAAAAAACAGGACACTACCACATGGATCTTTTTCTTTGCAATACTAATATCTACAGTAAAACATTCATAACTGCTCAACAGAGTAAAAATATGCTACATCAAAACTGTACCAGAAAAAGCAGGACCCCTCTAACAGCTGGAGAAGAGTTTGCAGATAAAAATCAGAATAAAACAGCCAGCTTAAAAATATGCCACTGAAAACATGAGAAAATAAATACAGTTGTCCTTTCTCTACAGTTTGGCAGACACTGGAATTGGTGAAACTCACACTCTCATCTTCTTGTTTGCTGTCGGCGTCTCAGCGTGTTGTCTTGCCAGGGAACAGAAGGCGTTCGGCCCTCCAGGCTGGGGGGGCTGGGAGCTGCTCAAGAGCTCACCTGAGGCAGGGGCTTGACTCCTCGGAATTCAGCATTGCGTATGACACTCCACGGGAACACGCTGCCTTCCATCTACATTCGCAGCATGCAGCACTGTAGGAGCCAGGACAGCCGCTTGGTATCAGTATGAGAAGGCGAGTGCACTTAATACCGAGAACTACGCTGCTCCTATGATCGAGTGAACTGCAGGTCCATATAAAATACAGAAAGCAAAGACATTTGTCTGCTCTCCTGGGAAGCATATACTGTTTGGATGGCAGACAAACTACCAATGAAGACAGGTTCCAAACTAACAGCGTTTCCCAGGGAATTAATTTACAAAGTGCCAGTGGTCCTTGGAACCAAATATAGTGTACAGTATATATTACAGCAAACACCAGCTCTGTGGCTTGTGTTGGCCCATCTCTGCACTCTATGCAGAAGGCCTTAAATATTCAGACTCTTTACAATAGGCTCCTTCCCTTTTTATACAAAGGAAAATAAAAACATAAGTTAAACCAGCAATAAATAAAACTACAGAATGTGTGTGTCCTGGTCAGCCCCCTTTGTGCATTCCAATCAGACTGGAGAGCTTCTCACAGTGCTCAAGTTTCAGTGATTCTGCTTTCTGTTTTAACCGCTCATCTCTGTAAAGCTTGGCCAAATTTGACAAATCAGACTCTGAAAGATGAAAAAAATATGTATTAGGATCAAGCCATAAGCCTACTTTAAATGAGTGTTTCTCGGTGGCATGTTTTTTTTATTTTTAATGCACCTTGTTTCAGTGAAACTGGGCATGTTAACAACTTTCTTTAATGAGAGGCCATCAGGTTTAACCAGGCTAGCTACCTAAAATATTTTCATAATTGCTTGAAAACTCAGTTATAACCCTCTCTACCAGTGCACCAGTAGGATAATAACCAAAACAAAAAAAGACTGATTATTACCATCTACAGAGAAAACACACTATAAAAGCATAGCTTAGAAGTCACATAAGATTTAAAAGTGTGTTAATGATCTAAAGAACAGGTGACTGCTTTCCAATATATATACACAGTTAAACTAACTGTGCATAAAAAGGGGCTAGTAGGATACCATTTGATCTGCTACACAGCACCCGTCTGAGGCGATACTGCTATGTGCATTTGAGTTAAACTGCTCTCACCCTGCCCTGATCCTTACTGAGGTATCACCAGGCACAGACAGGGAGGGGGGTTACTCCACACCCATCAGCAGTATTTAAGTGACAAGCCAGAAGGAAGGGAGCCTCATGACTACTTTTCCTATCGCTGCCTTGGGGCTGTCAGCTGTCTGCAGCCTAAGCAGGAACTACAAGACATACGCCCCTGCCCACCAAGAAACACAATTCTCTGGCAGATCCATTCTGCAAGGGCCCAGAGCACCCATTCAAATATATATACTTTAAGGTATAGATAATTTTTTTTTGACGTTGCACTTCTCAGAATTCAAACTCTGTCTGGCAACAGTTTTTTTTTTTTTTTTTTTTTTTTTGGTATTGATTACAGGAAGCTGAGGGACTTGTCTGAAAGGCTTCTATGCCCTTTCTTTAACAATACAATCTTGAATGTACTTTGCACATTTTTTCCCTTTCTTCTCAAAAGCAACATAAAACTGAAATAATCCCATTGTTTAAATTATTTCCCCCCAGTAATTCAGAGAAGTTTCTTTTGCAGATTACCTAAGGAAGTCTTTAATATTGCTGTGTCCCTAAAGAATAATTTAGATCCAGGATTAGATGCACCCAAGAGAATAGCAGTAATTTGTTTCTGAAAAGGTCAAAATTTCCCTAAGCACGCGCTACCTGATGACACTCAATTTTTCAAAGAGCTTTTATACACCTTACAAGTCCCTCATTTTACAAAATCATTCAGAGTGGAAAGAACTTCAATACATCCTTTCATGCCTTATATCCCTGTCCCACTGAAATTTAAAGCCATTTAACCATTATATTTACTGAAAAGCTTTACAAACTGACAGGCATGAATGCTTTATTTTAGATCAGTTATCAATTTTCAGGTTTTATAACTAAAATGCCACTCAAGTAGTGCTGGGCACATAGCCTTGACAAGCCTTCAGCAAAACTAGATTCGGGTAATTGTCTCTGAGTCCAGAGTCCTTGGTGTTCTGCAGTGAAGAATATCAGTTTACACTTACCCACTTGGGCAAAACTATGCACTGCGAATGCTTACACTTCTGACAGCATTCATTCAGTCATGTCTGTTCCTTGGGTTGTTCAATCTTTTACATCGAGTTGTTCCTTTGAACTTTTTCTCTTTAAGGAAGTCCTAAAATACTGAATTCCAACTACATATCCTTATTATATCTGTTTTCAGTTGCCTCTTTGTAATTTTCTACAACTCAGAGCTCTCTGCAGTCTTAACTTTACAGTTGTGCTATCACAGCTAAACAACGTCCCGTAAAAACCTGGGATGTGCTTTTTGCATCAAATATTTCAGAAGACCCAAATCCACAGCGTACATAACTTTTACACACTGTTCTGCTGTGAAGAGAGAAGCATTGTCTACTGATAGCAGTATAAAAGTGACTGTCTGAACAAGACACCAATATATCAGTTACTTTTGAAGTTTTCATTAAGGTATTGGAACACCAGGTAACACTTTTCAGGTCATAAAGCCAAGAACTTTAAAACTCAAAATTCAATCTGTTCCTAATTAATCTATGTCCATTTTGCAGGTGCTAAAGAGAAATGCACCTTCAGTAAACCAAAACTTACTATTAATAGACATTCAAGTGACAAAAAAAAAGTTGACTACATGAAGTTAAACCCTTAAACATGAATTAATGGACCAGTTATGAAACAACAGCTAAGAACTGTCTCACCATTTCCAGAGAACTTTTCCCCAGCACTCCATCTTGTATTCACAGTTTATTTGTACTAAAGTTAGCACCATCTCAGCTGTGCTCATTACCTGCTTGCTGGCCTAGATGGTAATCATTCAGAAAATGTTTTTTTTTTAATTACAGTGGTGTCCTCAGGCTACTGTTAATTGTGGATGTTGTAAATATATTTGCAGATGTGTGACTAATACAGTCTCTAAGTGTAAAAAGCTCCAGGAGCAGCACTGTCTTGCAGGCAGTACTTGTCATTCAATGCTGGATCATCTCCCTCTTTCTGACTACCAGTCTCTCTGACTTGTAAACCCTGTTGTCCATTTTGGGGTGTGACACTCCTTAGTTCAAGGTCTACGTGAAAGAGAAAACATGATGACTTTCAGTTGCACAAGGTCAATTAGAAGGATTTTTCTGTAAGAAATTAATTCTATCCCTATAGCAAGCCTACACATGAAGCCTACATTTATGGTTATTAACAGCCACATTATACCTAGGGGCTGCTACTGCCAGCCACAGGTGCTCAAAGATCACAAGTCAAGCACACCAAAAACGAAGGGATTTTTTGCGATTTTTATGGCTTTATGTAACTTTTTTTTTTTCTTTTCTAACTTCAGAGCCTACATCTGTATATTTCACTTTAAAAGCAAGATTGGTAACTTTTATATAAAATAAAACAAAGCACTCTCTGGATGAAAACAAAACAACCCTTCCCATCAAAAGCCTGTAAATAGTTTGGAGTCAGCAATGCTTGTTACCTCTAGCACAGAATTAAACAAGTCTTGTTTAGACAAAGTGTATGCTTCCATAATGATGCAATTGGAAAAGAAACTGTAAACATGTGCAAAGTCACCTTTTAGTAGTGTGCTGAGGCCTGTTTTTACATATAGCAATTAAGAAAACCCTACTGGTGTGTGAAAGCAGCTTGCCCGCTACTGTTAAACATTTAGATTGAAACTTCTTCCAGTCTCCTTTATGCACAGCAGTAGTTTGTGTTTACTCATTTGAAGGGGATGAATTCTTTAGCTGAAAAAAAATCAGTCACAATGTCCCAACTTCAGACAGTCTCTGTAATTTGATTTCTGTTATTTTGTACAGTGCCAAAAGAAGCAGGGATTTGCTCTGTTTTCAATGAACCAGATTAGTAGTAATTAACAAGTCATACAATATAGGGTTAAAATACATGCCTTTATATGTGCTACTGATCGATTTAGGACTGACGTGAGAATAATGATTTCTGAATGCTCACATTTTTCTGTTCTCCCTTTCTGCATTCAATTCTTGTTTTTAAAAGACAATCTTGACTATGGTGAAAAACATGATCTCAAACTCATCTAAAGATAGAAAATGCAAATAAGCACACAAAGCAACGACAGAAGTATGCTCTTTGAAAACTGATACCAGCAACACAGTCTACTGCAAGATTACCAAAAGCACCTGAATAGGCTATGTATGGGCTTTCCTTCTGATACGTTTTGAAGAAAAAGTTAGACAATCTTCTTGTGGAGCCAGTCAAAGGAAAAATGATTCTGCTCCAGCAAAGGAAAGGTGATGTCTCCGATCTTTTCTGGTCCTGTCAGAGCTAGATAAATGTGGTGGATTATACATTTAAGTCATCATCACTAAATCAGTCAAGCATAAAAACTGCGTGGAAAATAAACGTCTCAAATGGTAACGTCTACTTTCCACTTGTGTCTCAGAATCACCTAAAATGAATTTTGACAGACCCTCAAGAATAGTAAATTCAGAGCAGATGTGAGAAATACCACTGCAAGGTTTGAGAATTTATAAGCATCGGAAAATGAGGCTAAAAATGGCAATGCTTTGTGAAGCACAACCACCATACAACTACTGATGGGCTGTAGGCACACACTTGTAACAAAAATAACTTACTTTGCTGTTTCTCCTTCCAGCAGCTGGTCTGAATATAATCTATGTAATCTTTTTCAACAGTTTTCTCTAGCTCTTGAAGTTCTGCTCCTTGATAATTCTTTTCAAAGTTTTTATCAACATAGTAAGGCACCTGCAAGTTCTCTGTTTCTCTACTAATAACATGGCCTATGGACCTGTGAAGACATAATGGAGAAAACAGATTTTTTTCTTTTAGCAGTTCAAATATAAAGAAATTAATAGATGGTTCTCCATATTAGCATTTCCAGAGGACAGTATTTACAACAAGTTCTTTACAGTTACTTTCTGCAGGACTGTAGCTCCCTCAGCCATCCAATAAGGAAATTACAAGTCTCAGGCACAGCAAGCTGTGCACTACAAACAGAATTCACACCCTCCCCCGCTAAAAACCACAGGAATATATCTACTATTTGGAGATATCTACGAAGAACTGACTCCGAGCTGACACTGTTCCTTCCAAATACTGTGTTTGTTCTCAACAGCTCAGTCAAGCCACTTCCAAAACATAAGAGCAAATTTTATCTGTGAACAGAAGCTCCCCACATTTTCTTCTGTTTGTTGGTCATTTCTCGCAAGTGAGATCCAGAAATCCATGGGAATTGATAACAAATGTAGAGATTACAGGAAAGGCATACGGGCCTAGTATTGCTTAGGGCACAAGACAATTGTATCTGTATTTTCTCAATTTCTGGATCCTTTAGTAGAAATAAAAATTAGCTGGGGAGATTGTAGTTACACTTTCCTTTAGGGTTATATAATCATCACCAAGCAAAGTGGAGCATGGAATATCCCAAAGAATATCCTGTAGGTAGGATTATCCACTCTGACACAGACACTGGATTAAACTATACTCTTAAAAGTGAATTTCCTTATTTGAGCAAAGATACCCAGGCCTTTTTTCAAATCATTGCCCAAAAAGGCAGGCAGCCAAAACACAAAGGTTACACTCTACTCAATGGAATCCAGTTTGCCCCTTCAATTTCCTGAACTCCTCATTTCATTCTCTCACTATGTCTCAGAGGTGTATGCTCTCTTTATATAACAATTTCTTATAGTTTTTAGGCTGTTAGGTTTTTTTAAGGATATGATTTAGAGAAACAGCATAACTGTGTACCAGGCTCAGGCCTGACTATCTCAAATCAACAGGGGAGGTAGTGAAAAAAAGCAGGAGAGATTAGCTGTTTTGGGGGAAGTGTGGGAGGTTTCACATGGGACTGGCAGATAGTAAAAACACTTTCTGGAAAAAAAAAAAAAAAACAAACCAACCCCCAACCCCAACCACCACCCACTCCAAAAACAACCACCCTTTTGTTCTTATGCTAGGTCTACACACTGACATCTCCTGGCAAAAAACAGTAAAGGGTGCTGGGCTACTATGACAGTGGAGAGGATATGGGCCTAAACTGTAGTTTTACTCCTAGAAGGGCGCAAGGGGAGTGTCTGAAGCACTCTGCTACTGCAGGAAGTTCTCCAAAACCTGCTGACTCCACTCCTACCTCAGTAAGAGCCAGGGAAGGTGACTTAACTGAGCTCCTTCCCACCAGACAGCTTCCCTCCTCCAAACACCAGATGCTGAGAGGGGCAAGTGGTTTTCCTCTGCCCCATAAACTCAGTTTACAGCAGGTCTGGTGCTGTTCCTTCTGCTTCCAGAGCTGACCAGCTCAGTTTGCCCTCTGCAACCCTGTGGTCCTGCTTCTTTACAGATGTTAAACCAGGGCATTTCAAGGCTTTAATGATTTATGGAGGTCAACAATTCTTCCAGTGGAATTCAGGCTCCAGAGCAGATTTGGATTTAAACTGTGAACTACAGGCTTCACTTTTCAATCGCTTTACATAGGAACCTCAGCGGTAGGTCCACAGATCCCTGGGGGTGGGCAGACCAGATCAGCACTGTAGCTGAGCTACACCCACATTCCTGCTACTGTATCACTGTGCAAAAACATTTCACACCAGTTGAGAAAGCTTTCTGGCTCAGTGCCTCTGTTTGTTCAGCATACAGTACAATAAAGCACACCATAGTTGACTTCACAGTGATAACGCTCAGCAGAACTCATCAATAGAGACTGTTGGTATTTCCTTATTTACAGATTGATAACACTCTCTAGAAAGAGCAGAACAGAACAATAACATGCATTTTGCCACCAAGTCCAACAACCATCTACCTCATCACAAACACTGAAGACCAGAAAAATGTGTTTTTAAATTACTTACGATTTGTAGAACAGGCTGTAAGGTGGGTTTGTGGCCATCAGCTGAGTTATAACTGACACTATTATTATTATGAAAACTGGCATCAACTGTATAAATGCAGAATATGAATTCTGAAAACAACAACAATAATTAGTAGTCAAGAAAAGATACGGATGAAAAAGGATGCATCTGTTTACAGAAACCAGGCTATCTATCATAGAGCAACAATGTATTAAATGTAAACGGAAAAGAAAAAAAAAAAAAAGATGAAGTACTTTGGAATTCTGAGAGGGATGACATTTTAATTTCAAAATAACCTTAAAAGCCTTTAAAGCCATTTTCTTTCAATTATATTTTCATGATGTTCCTTTCATCTGCATCCTCCTTCACAAGGTGACAGATACCCACAGCGCTGTACCTGTCAGTGACCAGCTGACAATCCAGGCTGAAGGAATACACTGCAGTTCCCATTTGTGCCTACGGCTTTCCATGAATCTTCTGAAGCTTGCTACATGTGTTCTAAAAATCTCTATCTCTGTTCAAACACTGGATAAAATGGCTGAAAAGTATAGGGTTAGGAGACCACATGCAGTGTAGCTTGGGACAGGATGCAAGCACTTGGTTATTTGAATGAATTTAGTAGAACAAAAGAGTGGAAAAAAATATCAAAGAGAAAACACAGATCTTCCACTTTCATTTGATTTCTAAACTGGCTTCTAAAGTGCCTTTTCTAATCAGAAGCAAAATAAAATATGCAGCTATTCAGGCTTTCCTCTCTGCCCTGGGATACGAACAACCTGATGCAGTAATAGGTGGGATTCATTTGCCCTAGATTAGCTGTTTATAGGCTGTATGAGGCTTTTTTCAGAGCCTGACTGCAAGGGACTCATAGGAAAAAATTAATATTCCTTGGAGAATGATCTCATTAGGTTAAGACTGCCTCCAGAGGAAGATTTTTCCAAGGCAGGTGGCATGCCTGTATGTGCACTAGCCACAAATGACACCTTGAGTCTCATCTAGAGGTTTCAGCTGGTAGAAATGTACCCTAGACCCATCCTGCTTGGGCAGGAAGGGGCCTGTGCAGCAACTGGGCAGAGGTTGTCTGCTAATTTACTGAGGGATTAAATGTGCCATGAGGACAAGCCAGTACTTCTGTATCCACTATCAGTCCTCACTTGGACTAATTGTTGTTGGATACTAAACCATTAGAGCTTGCAAAAAGGAAGTGCCAGCAAAACACTGACAGAAACTCCAGGGCCTGCAATCCTATTAATACAATGGATTTTTAAAGCAGCTACTTTTGAAAACATCCATTTTGGCTGCAGCACTTAAGGATAAATGCTGAACATTTAAGGATGGGAAAGTCTGTTCTGGCTTCAGATGTGTAAGGACACTCCTCACCCTGGTGAGATATTTAAACTCAAGAGATGCCTCCTCTGGGCTACCTGTGGCCTGTTTTCTTCCTCTTCTTGCTCCTGCGTCCACGCTCTTTCATTTCGGTGCCTCCGTGGGTAATAGTGCGCATCTCTGGCTACATTTGAGAACATATGGATATTTCCTGTTAAAAAAACCCAAGAGAGAGTCATGATCTTCATACAGTTGCTGGTACTCACCTGTATTTCTCAGTTTCTAGTGGATTATCCAGGCTTATATTACAGGGCCTGAATTACAGTTGTGAGACCTCAGATTTAAAAGCACAAACACACTTCAGGTTCAAATGTCAAAATAATGTGTCATTCCAGAAAGTATGCCAGAGAAATTGTAAAGTTTGCCTCAAGTTCATCTTCATTTCAATCAAACTGCAGAAACATGCTATAATTTTTATTATTGTATCTCATATTTTAATACCGTTTTTGTCACACTCACTTGCAAGGCTGTAGCTTGTGTTGCATCCCCATGCTCTAAGCAAGAAAATGAATTTGCTTCACCAGATTCAGGCCGTGAATTATGGCTTCCCATAATTACTGACTATGGTCTTTTACACTCATTTCTACTTCCTCTTCCTTCAAGCTATTAATAGTTTCACTTTTATAATAAGGAGATATTTTAAAAGATGAATTAAAAAAAAAGTACAATTCAGGATTTCCTTTCTTGCACACTGAATGTAGTTGACTTTTAAAAATTCTAAAATGAGGAAAGAATTGCATATGCTGTTTTAATTTTATCATCATATGAATATCTTAATAATAGCTGTGCTCTCATCTTTTGAAATTCTGGATGTCTTTGTATTAGAAAACTAAAATTTATAGCCTTATGCCAACAGAAATGCAAATCTGTTTTAAGCCCTGGGAAAGATGTCGCATTGTTTTACACTATTATACTGTCCTTTCTCTGAATTTCCCAAAGAATTCTAAAGGAAACCTGTGTGGAAATGACCTTTGCTACTGTGGGAATACATCTGTGTCATTGCTCGTTTAAAGATTTTCCCAAGTATCTAGGCACATTTGCAGTCAGGGCAAACAAGGCTGGCTGGAAGAATGAAAGTTTCTTTCTTGAAAAAGGAAGTTTGTTTCTAGCATTCAACACTGCTCAGACAATATTTTATCAAGCTGTGAAAAAACAGAAGCAAGTGTGGGAAGAGAAGAATAGCTTTTGCAAGGTACCTAGAAAAAAGTTTTCCCAAATTTCTGCTAGCAGTTTCTTCCCTTCCATGTGTGTTTATTTTTTATGAGAAGGAAGTTCAACTTGTAGACTCTGCACAGCATAACTGCACACTATGTCATGTGGAAAGTCTCCTTTTAGACTTATGACATTTAACATTGTAGTATTTTTCCACTGAATATCCATAGAGGAAAAACGCATGGTAAAACCAAAACTATAAACCTGCCCACAAAAGCTATACAAATGACTTTGCCCTAATATCAACATTTCTTACTCAGACTCCCGGAAAGCCTGGTCATAGCAAGGTGTCACAAAACAAAACCCAGCATAACACTGCAGCTTAGCACAAACTTCAGCTTACACATGCAAGTCTTACTTATTGTTACAACAGTTTAAAAAAATGTTCTTTTTATATCAACTATCTGAACATCCTCTTACTATTAATTATCTTGCAAAGCAGAAACTGTATCAGCTTTGCCTATTTGGAAAACTACTGAACTGATGATTTTCCAGAATTTAAAATTCACTTTTAGATTAGGAAAATGTACATAAATTTAGACCCAAACATTTTGGACCCAAAAAAAGATGTGGACAAGCTGGAGAGGGTCCAGAGGGCCACAAAAATGATCAAAGGACTGGGAAACGCGCCATGTGAGGAAAGGCTAGGAGGGTTTGTTCAGCCTTGAGAAGAGAAGGCTTAGGGGAGAGACCTTGTCACCATGTTCCAGTATTTAAAGAGTGGCTACAAAGAAGATGGAGACTCCCTTTTTATAAGGAGTCACATGGAAAAGACTACAGGTACAAGTTACTCCTGGGGAGATTCTGACTGGACACGTGAGGAAAATTTTTCACTATGAGAACAATCAGCCACTGGAATAATCTCCCCAGGTGGATTCCCCAGCATTGGACACTTTTAAGATTCAGCTGGACAGCGTGCTGGGCCACTTTGTCTAGACTGGGCTTTTGCTGAGAAAGGTTGGACCAGATGATCCTTGAGGTCCCTTCCAACCTGGTATTCTGTGATACTATGATTTTTCTGGTGAGGGAACTATTGTTTACTACCATCACCTATTACTATGAAATTATATTTTTAACTTCCTATTCTCTGCCACTTTGATAAAAATTCCCATTTACTTACTTCTTCATGACACTCTACTTGTTAAACCTACCACTCCCAGTACCCAAATTCCTCCTCCAGCTCCTCAATTTCTTGTCCTTAACTCCAAGCCTCCCTGTTGACCACAGCTACAAAGCAGTCACATTCCATGTGTTTCACTAGTGGCTGAGGCAAAAGGCACATGCAGGTGCAATTTCTTGCAAAGTCAGAAATGGAAAATTTGCAAATTTAGTGTGGAGTTATGCCACACCGAGTTTGGTTCACTTCGCACATGTACTGATCAAATTTTGAAAGCAATTTGAGGTCTCCTTAGCTGCAAGATGTTATAACACAGACTAAGGTTATAGGGAACTTGTAACTACCTGTATCTGTGGCTTTAGACTGTAGTAATTTGCATGTACGTTGCATTATACCATGCTTTAGAGGTGAAAAAGTTTACAAGAGTGCTAAAGCAATTTTTGAGATACTGCCAGGAAGACCCTTGAGCTCACCATACCTTTCAGATTTACTTTTAATCCAAACCTGTATTTCACTGATCTTACAGTATCTTTCTATTTTTACTGCAAATACAAAAGCCAAGGCTGGACTGAGATATGCACAGAGCTGCTACAGGTAGGGATCTACTGTTCTGTTACTGGATACTGTATATATCCAGTGACAGCCAGCTGTTCCTGGCAGGCATCACTTTCTGAGCTAAAGAGTTTTAATTTCTTTAGAGCACGCATGCTGCTGCAAGCCAAATTAACTCCTATTTTTTCCTAGTTATAAGGACACTGAGACCACGACGCCAGGAGCTGCTGCCATGCTGTACTGGAACACGGTAAGGTGTCTCAGGACACTACCATCAGCAAAGATACCTCTGATCCTTTCCCATTCACACCTTATTTTACCTCCCATACCACTGCTGGCTTCAGACAAGAGAGGGAATAAAAGCAGCAATAAAAATAAGGGTCTTCAGCTACAGATGGTATTCAAATGTTGCCTGCCTAAGAATCAAACAGCCTAATCGCTTGCCAGACTAAAATGTTCTTACCCCTAACTAGTGCTGTCAGAAATTTTCAAAAGAGGCTGGGAGATTAGGAGCTTGCCCCGGCAAGCACTGGCAGCTCTCTCTTCTAGGAACATTCCTGGATAGCAAGTCCGGGCTTTGACAACATTTTTGCAGGAACGGAGTTGCTAAAAATCTCAAGTTTAAACCATTAAGAGAGCTTTTCCAGGCACAAAAATCTAGGAAAAGAGAAGAGAGTAAATCCAAAAAAGTTTTTGCTCTTTTCAAATGTATAATCAACTCTCTGAGCTGTACCAAGTGAAGCTGAACTTCCTTTACGGTCTAGTATCAATTCATTGCATTACAAAAACACTGCAGATACTGACCTGTAGGGAAGTGCCCACCAAAAAACACGTTGAATATTTCTTCTGGTGTGATGTCTGCTTCAAATTCTGTGTAGTAATTATAGTGCCTGGCTGGGCCAGTGCTGACATGCTCTTGGTCACTTCCGAATTCATCATATCGTAATCGTTTTTCAGGGTTGCTCAGAACTGCAAAAGCATTGCCTATTGCTGGAGAGTAAATTAAAAGAAGTGTTACACAGGCATATCACGCAGTGTTATCAGATCTCAGACTTTTTTATAAAAGTAGCAAAAAAACCCAAACAGGCACTGAAAATTTGTGCTTGAGCCAAGACTGAGATACTTTTGAAAGAACTGACTTCCTAAAAGAAGCACTGTAACACTGGCATCACCTGTGATGGAACTTATTTTCTGCTATCACTGATACGAGGAAAAAGACAAAAGTGTTAAAGTATATGGAGAGAGTTGAAATATTTGTAAAACTGAGGTGAGAGAGTTCACTTCAGTCAAGAGATTGAGAACGTAACATTTTATCAGATCAAACTAAGCAACTCATACAGAAGTACACCTTCATATACCATATACAGTTAATACAAAGTTAATAACTTCAGAGTCTAATTAAATTGCAGAACCACCTTCCAAGTTTTTCTGTCGTCAGAGAGGCTTGTGAAGCTGTAGAGCATATCTATTTCACACTTTATGTCAAACCACCCAGAAGTATGTTTGGTTCATCATCTTCCTTGATCTCTAACAGAACACAGCTGTAAACAAGTTCACAAAAAAATAAAACCCTTCAAAAGCTCCTTACTCTAATAGGCTATAAATGAGTATCTTACTTTCCTCATGCTGCCTTACATTGCTGTTGCAGACAGCTGCAACACAGCACAGAAGAAGCAAGAGGCGTAAGAGTTCAGATGCTAACATCACTGATACAGGCTTAGATTGCAACATTACTTAAAAGTCCATACACGGAATAATGGCCTCAAATTTCATATGCTTGCATATAGGAGATTTTTTTTATGGCACAGAGCAGTTACTGATTACACAACACCACCCTCTCCTGCATGGCAAGTATCATTTCCAAGCATCGTTCTGAACGTTTAGCAGTACCTAGGAATGACATCTGGGATACGTTTCCCTTTGGTTCTAATGGAAAACTGTATTCTAAAGATTGCTGTGACGTGACGTGGCAGTGCCGAAGGCTCCTCGCTGGCAGCGCTGCCGCATTGGCAGGGCCGCGGGAGGTGCTTTGGGGCCATCGTGTTGAGACTGGAAGGAGTCTGGAGGAATGTCTCCTTCACGCCTTCCGACCAAGCTTTGGCTAGAAGCTCTTCAAGGGCTTGTTCTGCAGCTCCTTCCAGCTGCAGTCATGTGTTGCCAATGCTGCTGCTTGTTTCCCCTCATCCCACGTGCTAATTAAAGCTGGGCTAATGAGCGGTGGAAGGTGCAGTCATGGTGTGAGGGAGCTGGTGTCTTCCACCAGTGTGCTTTGTAGGAGCACAGCAGCTTGCAGAAGACCTCTCCTTTCATGTGAGCAGCAGCAACTGGAAGTTAGGGGTCACGTCACTTCCATTGTTTATTTTTTATTTAGTCTTTCTTTTGAACAAGGTTGAAGTTGGAGCTTTGCTTTTGGATATGGATCACTTTTAGAATGGAGCAGGTTTGGGTTGTTTGCCAAGAGACTCAAGAGTCTATGGGAAGAAAGAGGTCAAAGGAAGGAGAACAAAAGCAGTAGTGAGATTCCATGGGACAGTCTTCAGAGGTCTGGGGAAATTTGTTCCTTGTCTGCAGGAGGGGAGATGAGTTAAAGCTTGACACTCACTGAAGTGTCTGATACCACAGGTGCTTACCAGCTGCCTTTGTGGTGTCTTCCTGGGACTAAAAACCTACTTGTGAGGCTCCGTGCACCAAGTCACAGGCCTCTGGGGTCTGGAGCTATCTGGATCCACCTAGCTGGGAATCACCTGGGATCTTGGGCTTGAGCAAATTCACCAGTCTGGTGGAGGCTGGTGAGTGGAGTGATGTCATTTTATTTTTCAGGAATTTTACCAGAAAAGCCTCATTATTAAAAAATAGCTTATCCTGGTGCATATGTTAAAGGTAGAAAGTATGCTGGATCTTAGCAGGAGTTCTGAAAACTTTGCATTTATTTTGCTGAACACTTCATTGCCATCTGCAAAGCACAGCTACCTCTACCACTGTATATTCTGGTAAACAGCTATCCATCCTATAAGATTACATCAGGCTAAATTATTATGTTTCATTGAACTGTGCAGGGGAATGTCTGCAGTAATACTTATTCTGAATGCTTAGCTAGGTCTTTTTTTTCCCTGGCTTCACAGTTTACCTTCAGGGTTGATGGATGTTGATGGTCATGTTAGGAGAAGGCAGTATCTCAACATGCTGCTGCCAGGTAGGTGAGGTGCTCTGGAGGTCTGTGTTGACTGTGGAACTGGTGAAGCTTGTGAGCAGGAGTCACGGTGAAGATGGGCAAAGGCAGTTGCAGAATTAGTGCTTTAGTATGTTATGCTGCTGAATAAGGCAACTGAGACCTCCAGAAATACCCAACAGCGCATTGTTTCTCTTATGGTCACATGGAGGGTGGGTATTGATGTCTTCATCATCCTAGGTCACTCAGCTTATAAGTATTTTGCTGTAGGTGGTAAAAGTGACTGGCAGCTGGGTCTGAGCCAGCTTGGGCTGTGAACCAGCTGGCTCCCAATGCAAGCACTGTGGAGGCTAATGGAGGACTGTTCTCATTATCGTGGGACTCGGGAGGCACTGGTGGTTCTTAGTATTGCCATAAAGTGGGTGCTCTGGCTGAACTGGAAGGGGCACCTGCTTTTCTGGTCTATCAGGAAGCTCTGGGAAAGTGATGGTATAGAAACTCTTCCAGCAAACTCAGGCTGCCAGACTTCAGGAGCTGAAGTAGCTCAGCATTTTGTGGCCACTCCTTTCCACACTCAGATAAAACCCTGTTTGTGCAGAGACCTTGTTCTTTACACTTAAGATGAGTCTTCTTTGAGCGTGTTGGACCTATGGGAAGATAGCAGTCTGCCTGCCTGAAGCTCACTTACTAACAATAAAGTATTTACGATGGCAGTTTGCATTTCAGCAGCACCTTTAATTCATGGCTCTCCAAATGCATTACAGACATTGATTACCATAGCCTCACAACAACCCCGTAAGGTAGGTGGCTATGATCATCCCCATCACTGTGAGGACAATGAGGGCACCAAGGATAAGGGCCTTGGAGCAGTCGGGCTGGCATTTGGCCAAGCACTTGGCCATTTACATCCCGTTAGGCCTTCAGCTTCAGATCATGCTTTTCTAATGCACAGGTTTGACTCAATATGGGGCTATACTGATTAATGAGCCTGTGGCTGGCTGGCACAGAATATAAAGGCCAGTAATCTAAGGCAGCAGTTTATTAGCAAAGTAGATGGTTCCTTGGTGCTTCTTGCTGCTGGAATAATCTGAGGATTTGAAGGCATATAAAAAATAGATATCCACCATTGAGTATGGCAGGCTGTAACTGGAGAAAGCCCTTAGACTCCAGGCAAAGAAGCTATGCGGGATGCTACTGTAAATGTACTGATCAGAAAGGGCATAATAATTTATATATAAAGTCTACCCTTGCTCTTTCTCCAAGGAAAAGGAAAAAAAAAAAACTAGAGTCACTGCTGGTTGTCACGGGTCAGTTTCAAGCTCTGTGCCCTTGGCTTCATAGCACCTGCAAAAGGAACAAAACATGGTGCATCAAGGAGCATGTTTGGGCTGACAAAAGAAGTTAAGCAGTGTGTTTCCTCAAACCCAGTCCCAGTGCTAGTTTAGCACTTCAGATTATTTGAAGTACTTGTGTGGAATGGATCTGAGAGTACTGATGGGCATGTGCTCCAACATCACCTGTGGAGCAGGGGTGTGGTAAACTTGGACTAGAGGGTGAGACTTTGACTTCACTAAGGCTATCTTATTTACCTCTTTATTTAATGACAAGCCACTCTAGCTCTGATGGCTGCCCCTAGGTGATGACATCTGTATACCTGAGGTATAGTTTGATGCCTTGAGATCAGGCAGCTTGGATAAACCTGAGATGGGCATCCAAACTTTCACCAGGCTCACTGGAACCAGATTTGGACCTTTAGGAGTTTGATGGCAGCTTTTTATTTTTATTACCTTTCTGAAGGAATAGGAGAGCAAAGAAATACCTCAAAGGCATTCTCTTATCCACTAAGAGAAATAATCCCCAGCTAGCTCTCTAAAAAGCAAGGCTTAAAAGGGAAACCTTTTCTGACGGTGGGTAACTCATGCTGTTGTTCATGTTGATGTTCTTCATGGAGATCAGAGTGATACTGTTATCCCTCTGGCTTGTGCCTGCCGAGCAGCTGTCAAGAAGAGAAGGCAGCATTAGCTACTCTGGAAAATGAAAAGAGTTCCTTTCCACACAAGTGGAGGAAAACAGGAAGGGCTGAGGCTGGCTGGTGCAGGGGACCAGGGTTGACTTGTGCTGCCCTCTGCACTGCTGTCCTTATCGAGGCCCATCCTTAGAGCCAAATTCCTCAACCTGTGTCTGAACACAGGTTCAGAGATCTCTGGAGAAACAAGCAGTGTGTTCAGACAAATTTGGATGGGCGCTGGTTTGCCTGACAGAAAGCACCATTGTCACCCTTGTCACTGCTTGCAGGCAGAATCAAGGAGCAGTTTGGATCTGGTTCTCAGTGCCTGAATGACCACCTAGCCCTGCAGACATTACCAGAACTGGAACAAAAGGAAACATTACTGTATCCCTCTGCCCTATGCCTTTATTTGTCATACAAAGGGAGCCCTGGATGTTTTTACATCCAAGCTGCTGCTCATGTATTGCCATATACTTCTTAAGAGTGAGAGTTGCAAGGGTTAGAAAGGTGGAATTCCTCTTTCTCCCTACCCTGAGGGCTGGGATTTGCACTTAGTGAAGACTGGATGATTTGGGGGATTAGGGTGCCTTGGGGGCACCGTCCTCTGCTCTGATAAATTCTGCCTCAGTGGCTTCGGATCACAGTCATTAAGGGTATTTGGGAACCACTGATGTTGATGCAAATTTGGGACCAAAATATTTAGGGACGTTGCTCCCTGTGTCCCTTGCCCCTTTCCAAAGAAGGGTTTATTACCTGATAGTAGGAAACTATCAGGTGGAAAAGAGAAGCAACATGTTTTTGTCCCTTCCAGCTCTCATTTCCTGCTGCTTTCCCACATGTGCAGCCTCTCTTCTTGGGTAGCGGTGATGGACCATGGGGTTCACATGGACCATCCTTCACTTGGTGCTTCTCTCCCAAAGGTCTCTGGATTGGGCCCCCCTTATCCTGCTCTTGCTAGATAGCAGTAATAGGTGTCTTAGAAGGTATTTTTGTGACCTGATCTCATCTCAGTGAGGCTGCTTTGAGATCCAGAAACCCAAGTTTATACCTCAAGCCTGTATGTAGGCAAAAAAAGACAAGCAAACTGCTTTTGGAAGGTGATGAGTCTTCACATGTATCAGTGCAGCTTTGAAACAAGGCCACTAAATATTGAACTTCTACCTTTGACTCGATCAGGCAGAAGATGAGTTGCTGTCATTGCTCATTTTGCTTTTTTTTTGCTGTCTCAAAAAAGTCTTGAAATGCTTCCGCCTGACAGAACCAAAGCAGCCTCTTTTCCTTGTTAAAATTAGTTCTTGAATAAAATTGTCATTTTCAATAGGATGTGAATAGTGTGAGCAGCCTTACCTCTCTGATACCATGGAGGTTCCTGGTTTCTGTTTGTCTGGAGAGAGAAGGACAGTTGGTGATGGATAGGTGAGAAAACATCACAGCTAAGCAATAAAATAAGTCATCTATGTTCAGAATTGCGTTGTACAGGGTCATGAATGAATTCTGAATGAGATTATAAACACCACGGGGAATATTTGAGAGTTGATTAGAGAAAATTCTTCAACTAATGTACATTCAGGCAGGACTGAACACTTTGCTGTTTAGTCACTAGCATCCCTTGGTCTTGCTGTAGAGCAGCCTTGCCCTCTAGTGGGCACTGCTTAGTGGGAAATGCGATTCTGAGGGAAAGCTCCGTGTCTTTTGCTGTAAGAGCTGCCCGCCTCTGGAATTCTGCACATTTAACTGCAGCAAACTTGAGACTGTTCCCTTCATCCAGATGAGTCTGGGCTGGGGCTCCGAAGAGGTGGTCACACTACATCCCTAACTGCTGCATCTGTGTTCCAGTTTGGCTTCAACCCTCCCCACTCTATAAGCTTTTCAAAATAATCTTTTAGGATTTGCCAGATCCATGTAGAAACTGATGACTGATTACAAAAAGACAGGTGACACCGGGCAAATACCTTCTGAGTCCTTTGAGTGGTTACACTTGAACCTCAGGCTGACCACGCTGACCAGAATGATCACAACCACTATCAGGATAACTATGAAGCTGATGACACCTGGGGATGGAGGAAAGAACTGTCTGTGGTGGATATAACAACATGCCTGTCCTAGGCTTCAGGGGTAGTGGAAAGACTTTTACTGTCATCAAAACTTGGGTAGGAAATCAGTATTTTAATTAAAATGAGCATGGTACATAATAGGCCGAGAAGTAAGTAGTCACTAGAGCAGATGGCTTTAGCCTCTTGTCTTTTAGCCTCAGAGGGCTTCTGATGATTATTTAGTTGGTAAGGCAGTGCCAGCGGGGCAGAAGTCAGCTGGTTACACTGGGGATTGATTGAAGTCAGTATGTCCCTACTACAGTTATCCTAAAGGTGTATAAAGTCAGGTAAATACATAGTATAGTGGGGAGAGACAAGCTAAAGACTGTGAATGATGTTATCTGTCTCATTAACCAGTGGCCAAGTGCAGATTTGATTCCAACATCTGGCCTCAGTAAATCAAATTATTCTTTGCATGGGAATCCTGTCCTGTTAAGACTGCTTCAGGACTTCGTGTGGCTTTCCTCGGAGGATATAAGCAAATGATACTTACAAAGTTAACACCTGACTTTTAAAAATGCTTCTGAAATAACACTTTTTCCTATAGTGTCATAGAAATGAGAAAATTGGTTTTTTCACTTGTCTACATGGAGGAGGGGGACAGTATCACCCAAGGCAGAGTGGGTCTCTCAAATCTACCCCATGCCTGTCTTCGAATCTGTTGCCAGGTTAAGGAATGGCATCTCTTGCTCCATCCTTCCACAGTCTGAAGGATGTGGAGGACTTGGCTGCTTCCTGCCAAGCAGGGTGCAGCTGTACAGGGGATGGCAGGCTGGGAATGAAGTCCCAGCAGGTTTGCAGGGGAAAAAAGGTGTCTAAGCTTCCAGGTGGGTAGTGTATTTATTCTAGACTCTATCAGGGAAGCAAAGGCATAGCGCAGGATCATTTGTGCCCTGGTCTTATCCAAACATGCAGCTGGGGCAAACACTGGTGCTGGGAGCAAGATCCCAAGCTCAGATGTAGCCATGATGGATGTTGAAATTGTCTGTCACTTGTATACTGGGCATGTTGGGAGTATTTATTAGGTGCTTTTTTGCCTTTTGGTGACAAGACTTTTTCTCAAGGGTTTTCCCTTGCACTCTGAAAACTCCCGGACTAGGCATGCTGAAGAAGAAAACTGTGGAGCCATCTCCAGGGAAACATCTTTGAAGCTGGGTGTCCAAAACAGTGTGGACTGTCACAACTGATCCCCCTCCTCTCCCCAGGATGCACAAGACCTTACCAAAAGCAGCCACCGTCAGTGGTGATTTCTCATCTGTTGGAGTGGGCTCAGGCAAGTAGCCAGAGGGCTTTGATGTTGGGGTGACTGGCTTTGAGGTGCCTACAAGAGGGGAAAAAAGTAGTTTTAAATGAAGTCTTTCTTCCAAGGTTGGCAAGAGGATTCCTATCAACACTAAAGGACCCAACTCTCACTTGGGCTTTGTTGAAAAGAATAATGTCGGATCATGGTCAGCCCCATCAACGTTAACAGCAAAGTGACCAAGACCTGTGTGGGAATTGGATTGCCTTGTTGTGGCCCCTTTTATCGTCTGAGAACACCCGCAGGGTTTTCTGCTGGGGCCCTAGTGATGAAGCTGAGCGTGGCAGGTGAAGGACTGATCTGGCAGTGTATCTGAGGAGGAGGCTTGTCCTGTCTTCCTCATTTTACAACCTTTTGCTATAGTGTCACCTTTTCTGCTGTGACTCACAATCACTGTTCCCAGGCTCAACAGGTTGCTTCAATGTGTTCCTTCTGTGGAGCTTTACAGGCTTTTCAAGGGCTAGGTGGGATGGCCAGCGTCGGCTGTTCACCATGCTGCCTTGAAGATAGCAGTATGGTGGCCTTGCTGTTGGCTGTGAAAAGGGCTGTAAAGCATCTAGCGATAACCATGTCTCTGAGAAAGGAGGAAGCACCTTGAGTTGCTGGTGTTGTGGTACTCTCATTTCTCTTGGGCTCTTGACCTGCATAGAGAAACGCAGAATGTGAGTCTTGTCCTTGAGTGTAATCTAGTAACCAAAAGAATTAATGGACACACTGGAGAAGAGAACAGATTCACAGTAATGCTCATGATATCTGGGAACACATTGAATTCATAATCAGGCTAAAACCTTCCCACCGAACATACTTTGTACTATTTTCCATGTCCAAATAGCAACTCAGAGAACCAAAATTCAAATACCCTCATATAAACTGTTCAGGTTCTGTAGTCCCAGATGCAGTTTTTGGGCAGGCACAGCAGTTGAATACTGGAAGAGGGAACTGGGAAGGTTACAGATTTGCTATTGCTCATAACTGTTGAGACTGTAAAAAAATGTCTGCTTGGGGAAGAAATTCTGCAGAATATGGGTGTGGATTGACTGTTCACCTTGTCCTTGGAGTTAGTGCATATGCTGTCTTGAGTTATCTAGAAATAATCAAGCTAGTTTGAATTGGGCTAACTTGTACCCATATGTAGTCTAACTGTGGCAGCACAGAGGTTTGTTTGAGCAAGGACTCCAGTTCTCAATGGGATAAACTGCCTCATATGAAGCTGTTTGGTTTGTGACAGCTGCTTCCAATGCCTGTGCAAGCAAATTTAAAGCTAACTGTTTCATTTGTACAGAGGAAAAAACCCTTTGCTGCCTTCTGGGTGTGTGTTGAGGGGCCAGATTATCTGCATTGACCTTAATGAAGAGCTACATGCCTTGTCAGAAGACTAAAAATGATACTTTAGATCATCAGAAGTAGGTCACGCAGGATCTTCTTTCCTCCATTCCCATCCCCACATTCCCATGAGCAGCATTAGCCAAAAGTATGTGCTGCCTGGAGAAGTGTGAAACAGCTCCTGGCACTCAGCAGTGGACCACGGGGCATGCAGCTGAAACTGGGGCTCCTGTCTTGCAGAAAACACCACTGTTTTGCATGTAATTTTGCCAAAATCAAGAAGAAAAAGGGGAAATGGTATGAAATAACAGATCAAACTGGTTCAGAAATGGGTAACCACATGGAGAAGAACAGTCCTGAGAAGCAGGATCTGTGCAATTTTTTTCACCAGTCATCAAACCCTTTGTTTCATTCTGAAATTGTTCTTCTAGCCACAGGTGGTGGGCAGAAGCTGTGGTTTGCTGAGCCTGGCATGGCAACCGCATTCCTGGGACATGTTGGGTTTTAAACAACAGGAGACTTCACTTTTGGAAGCATCAGCAATATTTCTATAGTCAAAGATGTATGGAGCTTTTCAGATATAAAGCAGGGTTATAATTAATAGCAATCTGCTCTTATGCAAAGGGCTCTTGGCTTAGCTGGGCATAGGCATGCTGGTTGGACATCTGTGCAGGCAGAGCTGACCACGGGTTTTTAACCTTGCTTGTGTTAGGGAAGATCTGAGAGGTACTTGGAGAGGCAAAGCAGTTTCCATCTTGACCATTGCAGATTTTTGAGGCTGAATCTGTAACGGGGAATCAGCTCAGCTGTCAGATTTCAGTCTTCCCACTCTCTTGGATGCTGCCCTTATTCTGAGAAAACTCTTACTGAATTCTCTAATTTTTGCTTACAGGGTGGGTTAAACTGTCAAAAGCAAATTATTTTTTTTTTAAAGGGTGTTAAAAGGGCTCCCTTTTCCTAAACATAGATTAGTCTTTCAACTGTTCAAGTTCATCCCATGCAGAGAATGTTAAGTGTATTTGGTCTTGTGTTTATCACTGCTTGTAAGGATAACAGACATTATTTTGGCTGTTACTGATGGTTCAACCCTAAGATAAAGACTAGTGCTTAGATAACCTGCACAATGTGAATCAAGTAAACTAATTGCCATGAAATTATCTAAACATTGTTACTCTATAGAAGGACAAAGTACCTTGAGTTGATGAAGCTGCTGTGCTTCTGCTTCCACTAGTCTTATCATCTAAATAAAGAAAACATGGGAAAGGAGAATTAACTCTTAAAGCTGATATTAATTGTGCTATGGAGAACTGTTGGGTTTCCATGGGGTAAAAAACTTTGTTTGCATGAGACTTCCCTTCCCAAGACATTGAGACTTGACAAACCAATGTCAAGATGTCCAGCTAGCAAGCTGTGCAGTCAGTTTAGAGAGTGAGCTTGGGAGAGGTCTTCTAGGGAGGCTGGGGTGACTGTAGCTCCTCCGCAAAACATTACCTGGTAAAGCATGATCTGGCCTTTCTGACAGGGCCTTGCTGTGCAGCTGCCACATCTAGGTCATGGTTGTGTCCAGCCCTGTGCTCTTGGGGAGCTGGAATGAGCTGCTCTTTTAGCAAAGACTCAGAGAGATTCAAAAGTTGCTGCTACTGAATAAGTAGCATGGCATGGACTAGCTCAGTCTTTCTGATGCCCTCAGTTGAGCTTAGATGAGGAGGGATGCGTAAACAAGTCCTGCCTGAGCAAAAATTTGAATTTTCCATGCTTACCTTGCGCAGTCAGCTCTGGCAGTTTTGTAGTGATGGAAGAGGATTTGGCTGTAGTAGCTCGACCCACAGAGGTGAGACTCAAGTTGGTTGGTAGTGTTGAGTTTACTAAAGGCTCTGTAGAGGAAGCATAGCATTAGTCCAAAGAGCTCTGCTCACCACAAGCTCGTTCCGAAACAGCCTGGAGGAGGGCATTCTATTGCAGAGTCTTCCAACTCTTTGGGAGTTATGGATAATCTGCTTGGGAAAGCATGGGCATGAGTAGACAAGGAAATAACCTTTGTCCTGCTGAGAGTCGGGGAGCTCTTGTTCTTAGACATTAGCTTTTACCTTTTTTAGTGTACAGAGATGCTGAGCTCAGGAGACACATGGAGAAAGTCTGCTTTTTTTCTGCCTTGAAAACGAAGGTATTTTTATCACTGGGCACTTTAACTGGCTCGAGCTGCCGTGTGTTTGCTTGTTATCTCAAATGCTAACTCTTACATTTCATTTCACTGAGAGTCTCTAAACACAAATAATTTTGTTCTTGCAGTGGTCTGGAGGCTCTGTCATCTTCCTCAACCTCCTGCTTAAAGCTGCATAGCAAGAACATGATCCACAGCAAGATGTGAGAAGAAAAATTTTTCAATGAGCCCTGTGCAAAGACGAGTGGATCACCAGCTTGGAATTTATAGGCAAGTTCATTGTCTAGACTTCTCTTGGCTTTCCAGCAGAAGTGAGAAAAGAGTGAAAATGTTTTAAGGTTGTGGTTTGTTTTTTTTCCCCTTTTATCTAAATGTTTCACCAAAATACTTGAATTTAGGAATACATTTATTTATTCTGCAAGGCATGAAAACAGAATCTGAGATATTTTTGAGATCTTTTTCTTTTATATTTGTGGGGTCCCTTTGAAGGTGTAGCTATTCTCACAAAGATTTTTATTTTTTTTGCTCAAACATAGCAGGAAGAGATCTGTCTCCAAAGATCCAAGTAGACTTAACAGAGGTGGATCTGGAGTTGGAGAGATCCCTTCTTGTGTATTTGGTTTTGTGTATTTTAGAATGAAACATGTAACTTTCTGCTAACACCTCCCTAAACCCACTTCCAGGGCTTCTGTGTGGCCACGTGCATGTGGTAGTGTCCTAAAGCTGGTTTTAGCAGAGAAGTGCAGAAAAAAGAGAATAAAGTAAGGGAACTTCTCAGAGATTCATATTACTTTTAAATATTTTTCTGTCCTTATGAGTGGTTGCTGTTTCCATGGAGGTAGATAACAGAGCAAAATCCCCAGCATGAATAACTAAATTAGAGCTGAGGCAGTGTTCGGTCCCTGTGCTGCCACAGACATTGTTCAGTTCATGCTTCCCCTTTTCCTCTTGGAGAAATGGGGAACCTGTTGACCTGTTGTGTGGAAGGTGCTGAGGGTGTACAAAGTACTGAAAGTTTGTAGTTATAAAAATAAATGTGGTCAGGCTTGTCAAGAGAGCAGTACTGACGGGTAGGTGTAATGCGGGGAAGTTCTCACAGTGACTTCATTGCTGTTATTTCTGTCACAGCAGCAGGAGCCAAGGGCAGCCCTGGTGTGTGGGGCACTGTGCCATGCAGCCCCGGCGGTCCTCGGTGGCGTGGCTCTGGAGCAAAGCGGCTGATGCCGGGTGGGAGGATGCAGCAACATGGGCAGCGCCCGGCCCAGATCCTCGCCGGGGCGTGGGCAGTTGCATCCTTTGTGTGCCCAGGGACTTCTCTGGCTTGTGACCTGCTGACCCTACTGCTCCCTATTCAGTTTGGTGGTTTTTCCCTGTTCTTGCTCACCTCTATGCCTTGATCCCTCTGGGGTGAACTGACTGGATCAGAAGCCCTTATACCACAAAAGCTGCTTGTTCCCCACCACTGTTCTTATCTAACCTGAAGCTGCACAGCCCCATTTATTGCCAGGTGGCCCAGCTGGACTGAAAGTCGGACCAGTTACGAGCCAGGATGCCCCTGAGCTGCACTGTTAGGTCTCCAGATAAGCATTACCTGTGGTATGGTTCTTTACTTCCGGGCTTTGTGGTGTTGTTTGGGATTGACCTGTAACACAAGCAGAGAGACATGGAGGTGATGTCTCCTACACGTGCTCCTTGTTGGCAGCATCTCCATGGGAAGGGTTGAAGGATTGTCCAGAAAGGGGTCACTGTAGCCAGTGAGAGCTGAAAGAGTGATGGGGGCAAGAGATGCTAAGGAGGGAGTTTGTCACTGGTGTGGCCATAGGGACCTGTGGGAAAGGGGCCTTGGCTCTGAGGATCCATGGAGGAGAGCACACTAACTGCTAGGGAACAGCTGGGGGAAATGGGGAGCAAAGATGAGGCAGAATCCCTCTGCTTCACTAGGGTTCCTGGAACACTGTATTGCTCCTTCCAGACAAAAAGGGGAGCCAGGCAAGATCATCCTCTGGGGCGCAGTGGCCTCAATGGCCCCTGCAGATCTAGGGGTGAATGATGATAGATGGGGCAGGCAGAGGTGGGCAACGCAGTGTCCTGGGAGGACGTGCTTCAGCAGATGGGAGTTTTATCCAGTTCCTGTTTGTGGACTCTCCATTTGCATCCCCACATGGGCATGTGGATCCACGTTCAAATAGACATATAAAGCAGCTCACAGCTCAGGAGGTACCTGTTACAGTGTGGACAGAGTTGGATGTTGTAGTACCTGCAATGAAAGAAAAAGAATATTAGTGGTGCTAATCTGTAACTGTCATTAATGCACTGGTGTTCTTGCTGTGTGGTTTGGGTTTTCCTCATCTTCTGTAGGAACGACTTTGAAATACATGATTTCCCCAAAGACATTATCAAAGAAGCAGCAGCAAACACTGAGTCCAAAACTATCAGGTTCTGAATAAATTAGTGCTGGAGTTTACTCAGCCAGGGTAAACGCCCTCATTCCCAGATGGAGCTTGAACCCTTCAGGGAGCCGTCTTCCTCTCTGACAGGGAATGTGCAAGGCCATATAAATCAGTGGGATCGTTCACTCCCCGTGACCTGTTTGCCTCCAGCTCAGTCTTGGTGGAGAAAGGCTGCTTGACCTCTATTCTAGGACTGTTTAAAGTGTTAAAGACACACACTTGATCAGGTTTGTAAAGGCTTCTAGGAGATGATGAGACTGTTTTTCTTTCCTGCCTCCTACCTCTGATCCTGCTGTCCTGTGTGTTTGCACCCTGGCTGCAGCCCTGTGCTGATGTAAGCCTGGACACAGCGAGGGGGCTGCAGCTTTGGTGCTGACTCAGAGCTGCCTTCCTGGGTAGTCCTGTGGGTCTGTGCAAGGCTTTGCTCTCCCAGGATTCTGGGTGTTACACTGAGCCACCGGTTGCTCAACTGAAAGGTATTTTTGTTTGGCATCCCTGCACCAGTCCCCCATGTTGCCTACTCTCAGGATCTCTAGTGTTTTTCTTTAAGCCCTAGCACCTGGAGTCATATGATTAGATTAGATGCCAGTTAAAAATGCTACCATTTAAAACAGGAGAAAGAAATGTCCAGTTCCCATGCCTGGGGACAAGAACTGGAAAATGCACTTTAAATGCTCAAATCAAACCCAACTGGCTTACCTTTGAAAAGGTGACTCTGAGTCTGTTGTTTTGGAAATGCACATCCTAATTGTTTTTTTTATATGGTTATTGCCGGTGATCCCGGTGCTGTCTGTAGTTAAGATTAATGAAAGAATTTACAGCTACAGAAATCAGCTGAATCTGATCCCACCAGCAATCCATCTCACCAGAGACCCATGAGCACTAAAGATTTCAGATGAAAAGGGATAGCAGTGAAGGTTGAATCCTTCCAGCATACTGTTCCCTTTCCCCTTGTACTGACACTTAGCTCGATTGCAACAGTGGTCTGTGATGAGGTGTGGTGCCTTTGCAGGATGCTGTGCCTTGTGGGGTGGCAGGAGGGGAGATCCAGTAATGCAGTGCTAGCCAGAGCAGTGCTTGTGTGCCCATTTACAGCCAGAATCTGTCATCCCTTTGTGTGAGATCCATCTCACCCGCTGCTTTACATCTCTCATGAGCCAGCCGGCAGGAGAGCTCATCTACAGGCTCTCTTTCTCACCAGAGGACCAGGCACTTCCAAAACCTTATTGCTCTGAGCTATCTCAGATCTCCACGTTATTACCTTACCTTACCTTATTTCAGATTTCTACCTTGCTCCAGCTGTGGCTAGAGGAGCCACAGCGTGCAACAGCCCATTTCTTACCAGGAGCTGTAGAGGTGATGTAGGTGATGAACTTTGTGGGAGGTACCTATGCTATATGTGTCTGAAAGAGGTCAGATGAATGCCCTGACAGTGCTGTGGTTCTGGAATGAGATCTTTAGCATCCAGTGTGTGTGGGTTATCAGGGCTTGGCTCAGAGCCCACCCCTTGGGACCATCTGGGTGTAGTGAGCTCCCGATTGATCTCATTTTTCTCACGTAACTGCATGGGAGCCGTAATTGTTTTCTTGTCTGAGGCTTTATGACAATGATCCCAGCCAAACAGGAACCAAAACAGTGTGTAAACCACAGTGAATACATAATAAAACATGATCTCTTTCCAGATAGGATTTGGCTGTGAAAATCAGACCTGACTCTTCAGATCTTTTCCATGCTTTTCTCTTCTAGCTTAGTGGGCAGCAAACTGGCAAAATCTATCTTGTTCAGTCCGTGAAAGAGGAGATATGATCAGATCTTTAATTGCATAGAGAGTAAGGGACTAATTGGTTTTCTAAACCCACTGGGAACAGGCCCAGAAAACAAGGACTTTAACTGCAACAAGGAAAAGGGAGGCTGGGCAATAGGAAACTGCCTTGACATAAGGACACTGAGTTGCTAGGAGTAATTGCGCAAGAGAATCATGGAATAACCTTCTCTGCAGGTTTCGAAGAGCAGATTAAATGAGTATCAGTCTAGTAGCATAGACAAGATTATGGATAGATGTAACATCACTTACTAAATCAGCTAATATAATGGAAAAAAAGATCTTTTAGGCACACTTTTGCCTTTCTTAAAGAGTTAGAGATGCTGCTTTTGAGGAAGAGGGGTACACCTCTTTGCAGCCCTGTTGCCTGGGATGCTGTGGGGCACTGCCTGCTCCCCAGGGGCCCAGCTAGTCAGAGAACATGTGGTGACTTGGGCTGGTTCCATTGATCCCAAGAGTTTGCCGGGTTTTCTCTTTGTCACTGGGCTTCCTCTTCTTAAACTGCTTTACAACACAATTTCTGGACATTGGTTTGCAAATGCCTTAAGATACTCTGTACATTCAGCACAAAAAATAATGTGCATCTCAGCATGGGGGCCAGTATCCTCTAGCAGCTGCCAAGCTCAATCAGCTCCTCTTTTTCCAAAATTCCCTTGCAGAAGCCATTGTCTTATTTTCTCATGGGGAGGAGTAGCTGCTTGTAACACATTTTCTTTTTTAATTTATCACAGGTGCTTTTTATTGTACATGACACATGAAAGCATCAAGAATCATTGAAGAAAGAGCTATTGTCTACGCTTAGTCTGTGTTAAAGAAAGAGGGTAATAAAGGTGCTGAGCTGGCTGCTTATTCCACCATTTTTGTTGCAGCTGAGGAGAAATCCAGGAGCTTGAACAGAGACTGCAGGGAAGGGAGGAAGCTGAGACCAAGGCAGATGGCATCGCCCTGTACTGCCATCACTGATGGGACTGTCCCATGGGTCAGCTCCAGCATCTCTGGTGCTAGGGCAAGAGGAGGAGGACCCAACCCAACACCTTCTTCCACCACAGCTCAGCCCTTCACTGAAGGTCACACCAGGGCTCATAAGGAGCTCTCCGTTTGCAAAACTAAACCTTGGAGTTATTGTAAATAAGATGAATAAGCAGTTTTTTTCTACTGCTCAGTCCCTGGAGTTCATTTGGCCAAGCAGATACTTGCCCTGGTCTGCTGCGTTTGAGCTTTGCTGTGGAGAAGTGACTGGCCTTGCTGTGAAGAGGCCAAGGGGTAGAGATCCCCTTTTGCCACTTTACTCAGGAATAAATGTCCCTGGCTTCTCTAAACACAACTGCACGTTATTTCAAAGCAGATCAGATCTGGCTCTGACTTCTGGCCACTGCTGCTTGTTGTGCCTTCCCTGCCAACTCAAATAATCAAATATTAGGTGTTTTCTTTTGGTGAAGGTGCCTAGCATCCTGGTTGAATTACATCGAAGTGGGACGGACGTGCACAACGCAGGAAGAGACTCAAGTCACCTCCTGGGGCTGGGCAGCAGGATGGGTACAAAAAAAAAATGTGCCACGCGTCGTGACTCCCTGCAGACATCCCGGGGGACTCTCGTGCAAACGGTGCTAGAAAGCATTTCCTCCGGGTGCTGCTGCCAGCACGGCCCTGCTCCCTTCCACAGAGGGCCCTGGCTGTATAAACAGCTAACAATAATAATCAGGAGGCAGCCAGCGCAGCTGTAATTGCAATAAACATCAAAGCCATTCTAATGACTCGCCATGGAGTGTAAGCACTGCCAAGATATTTGTTCCATGTTTGGGTGCAAGTGATTTATAGCCAGACTGCAGTTCTAGGTGGAGACAGGGAGCTTGCTGAGGGATTTATGATGGGAAATACAGCTTTCTACTCTTGCTATAATGGGAACCCCCTGATTACCCACCAGAGCCACAGGGCTGCAGAGGAGCACGTCGGGGCTGCAGAGGAGTGCGTCGGAGCTGCAGGTGCATTTCAGCTCTGACTCAGCACAAGCTGCTTTTTGGTTAATTTTTCCAGAGGATGAGCAGGGGAATTTTGGATTTCTGTTATTTGCATGAGTTTTTCTGTGCAGTTAGATGTGAGTGTTAGACTGAGAGCAGAGGGGTCTTTCCACGGAGCCTTCTTTCACAGTAGCTGAGATGTTCCCAGAGCCAGCAGCTCACTCTGCTCACTCCTCAGCACAAAAAGAGAAGGATTTGAAACAAAAAAAAAAAGTGAATTTTTGGTATTATTTTTGGCAATCAATTAGAGAGTGGTTTCTCCAGCTGCTGACAAGAGAGAGGCACTGCCATGTAAAAAACCCCAAACTTTACATCAGAGCTTCTGTATAGCAGCACTGCTGTAGCAGAGACCAGCGCCAGCAGTTGGAAACATTTCAGCAGGGTTTGGATGAGGTTCAAGAAGGGCTTGTGCTGTCCTGTCTGCATTGATAGAGGGATGGAGCCACAGGGGAGGATTGCTGGCACTAGTACGAAGGCATGGGGACTGGTCCTCTCCTCTCAGAACTGGTGATGGAGAGGGACTGTCTATCCCTGATGATGTGTAACCCTGGACTCGCTGGACTCTTACCCTTCCCTGGTGGTTTTGGGGGGACATGTGGTGATGCCCCCGGTAGCACATTGCATGGCAGGGAGCTGCAGAGCCCCTGGGGGCATTGTGCAGCATTGCTGTACCAACCTCGGCGTCACCCTCAGCTTGCAGGTTGCATAAACGCTTTCAGAAAAGAGACCTAGTCACCTAAAATTAGACTTTTCATATACTGCCACTTCTGTGAAATGACCCATGGCAAAAATATACTGACCACTTAACACAAGCGCAGCTGTTTCCTGGGTGAAACACAGCAGTTACTGAAGAAGCAGAAATCAACGACAACCAATTCTTAGAGCTTTCACAAGATAAAAAATCCTGTCTTAGGAAATGTGGAAAGAAGAGATCTCTGCAAAAGTCTAGGTCCTATTTTATTCAGTA